TTGTTCATAGAAAAAAGGTGAAGATTCAAAGTCCTAGTAAAATGACAGTGATAGTTTATCTGACAAAAATCATAACATTTCTTATTGGAGGAATTAAACGGTTTATTTAAGATTGCAACATGGAAGCAAAAAGGGACAAAATGAAAAGATATGAAATTGCAAAAAGGCGCCAGACCCACACAACACAATACTGCTACCAGATAAAAATGTAATAAAATGAAGAAAAAGGAAAAATAAACAGAAGCCTGATAAACAAGATGACCTACCTACTAGTTATCCTGATTATATCACTGTGCATGTCCAGTCCACACAGAGTTCTTATAAAATCTCTGTTTTTCTTACCAAAAACTCAGCTTTAACTTAGCATAGAGACACAAAACAAAGACACTCTTCAAGTGTGGACAGAGTGAATAAGCAGAACTCAGTTTCTCTTTCTCATTATGGTCTGTTTGTCTTTTAACCAAGGCCAAACGGAGTGGTTTTATTGACTTTAAAGGAGCACAGACCTTGGGGACTGTCTGAATCCAGTTACTTTAAGTCTAACACTCAAATACCAGCTTGACATAAGGAAGTCTTATTTGCCAACAGGAAGTTGAAATGTTTTTCTGGATGTTTGGGAAGATCCTGCAGATAGCCAGAGTTTAACTCTACATGGCACCAATTTACAACTATAAGCAAACCTGTAAACTTCAAGGATGACATCAGTTTTTCCATGTGAGAGTCCCGCATCACCACTCTGCCACTCCCACTTCCCTGCTCATGTCATTCAGGGCACTTGAAGGATGTTGTGGCTTCATTAAAGGCAATACTGTCTGAATAAAGTCTCTGTGAGAGGCCAAGTTTTGTGATCGATAAAGTCATTTTATGACCATTCTGGTCTGACTGACACAAATATAAAAAAGTTATGAGTTTGTATGAGGTAAAGAACAAAAGAGTGTTGAAATCCGAGAAGCATTTTTAGTTAATTTATTCAGTAAATATGAGAAACCAACAAAATAAGCTGGTGCCAACAACAGACTGAGAACAAATTACTGAATAAATCAGGGAACACAGAAAATAGTCATTAATGAATAGACTAAACAGACAAAAAATAAAACATAGAAACTCAAACATTAAATTATTACTTATTATTTGTCTAATTTTGATGTTAGGCTGTAGCTAACCCCCATGTAAAAGCAAAACCCTGCCAGACAAATTTGGAAAAATTCCAAAGTGGGCGGAGCCAGGAGACACAGGGGGCGTGGCCAAGAGCGGGGTTCAGCAGGGCTGTGGTCAGGAACAGTTCATCCACTTTGTCGCTATATTTAGCTATTTTTTTCTTCAAAGATGAATCTAGTACCCAAACGCGGGAATGTAAACCAATAGAAAAATTCAGCTGCAGTAGCCACCGTTCAACCCAAGGGGGGCAGCATTGAGATGGTTTCAGTTTACATATGTGACCCAACTAAACAAATTTACACAAAAGTGTTAAAATTTGCACAGAAACGTAAAAGACTAAATCCTGAATTTATATAGTTTATCTGCAACAAAAGTTGATTTGCGAGTTGGTTACACCATAATCCACAAATAACAAATAATTCTTACAAATCATATAATGCTAAGTTTTAACAAATTTAGCTTGATAAGCTATGGAACAGGACAACGCCTGTTATTACCCAGCAATCTACTGATAAACAGCTGATCAGTTTATTGTTTCACATTGTTTCAGCCCCACCCTACCTTATCTCTCACACCGCCTCATTTCCCGTTCCCCTAAATGTTAGGCCATCAACTGAAACAGAAGCAGTAACCGTACCTAAAGCTTTCTCTTTATCTCTTTGTACCTTAGCACCTAGCATGCACTGTGACTGTGATGCAACTTCTAGACATCCAAACAGCTGCTGTTATACCAACACTTTCTCTGTCACCATTTATTGTTCCAATTGGAAACGCAAAATACTGCCAAACAAGTAATTTAAGAGAAGGGCTGGAACATTTATTTGATTCAGATGTGTTTTAGAAGATGGTGGCTCTGGAGGACACTCTAACCTGATTAGGAAACAGTGACCTTTGACAATGCTATAGATTATTCCAGTCAATTAACCTTTACACGTACATTTAGCTTCCTGCAAGGAAACGATGACTCATTTGAATCATCGTGTCCAAGAGTTCACTTTGAGTCAAGGTCGTGTCCTTACACACGTATGATTGACATGCAACGCCAGAAACAGTTATTCACTGTGGACTAACAAAATAAATATTTGACAAATTCTGTCCTCTCTGTGGCACTTCAAGGACTTCTTGGTCATAATGCTGCTTCTGGGCATATGGGGTGCTGTTTGTAAAATAACAGTCATATTCTCGCCATGTTATTCATCCTTTTATTAATGTCACAGTTTCAAACTATATATATAGTTTACCAACTTGGCTCCAACTTCAAGATTTAACTCGTGTTAGCAAGCTAAATATTTAGTTTGCTAACTTGTAAGAAAGCAAAAATGTTTAACAACTACATATTTAGCTAAAAACTAAATATTTAGTTTGTAATCTAAGTATTTAGTTTAAACAAAATATTAAGATTGAAGCTACATATTTAGCTGCTTTACTAAATATTTAGCTTGATAACTAAATATTACATTCAGCATGGGGTGCCATTTGTAAAGTTACCCAGTCAAAAATTAGCAATAATAATTTGGGTTATTTCATCTGTCAAAATGGGGGTTTATTAAATGTTTATTTAACAAGTTAAATATTTAGTTGGCTAGGTAAATATTTAGCTTCAAACTAAATATTTATTAAGCATGCTAAATATTTAACTGGCAACATAAATATTTTGTTTGGAACTGAGATATTTATAAATGAAGGAATAATATGGCGAAAATATGACTTTGAAACATTAACCCCCATTTTGACAGGTTAAATAATCCAAATTATTGTTTGTCTATTTTTGACTGTGTAACTTTACACAAACTGAACATTTTGTTTTCATCCCCTGACTTCTCTACAACATTTCTGCTGGTAATAAAATCAGGATCTGAGGTCTTGACAGAGTTGAATTCCCTGAAACTGAATATTTTTCTCAGAGTTTATAAAGAATTATTCCTCCCTTTTATTACCACCGTCTCTTGCTGAGTGACTATTAAAAGTCATTTGCTACAGTTTGTCAGTTTTATTCTGATACATGTCTGATAAATTATGTTCTCCAGCGGGCCAAACCATAATTCAACAGAGTAACTAGGTCACATTTTTATCATGGGTGAAAATAAACCCAGTGTTAGCTTTTAAATCTCGGTTTAGCTGCAACTGAAATTGGTTTTCAGTTAACTTGACTTCAAAATGAGTGCAGTTTAAGATTAATTAGCCAGTTAGAGTTAGTTTGATTTAGACTTGACCAATGCCAATTTATCTTGAGATCAACTTAGCTAACAGTCAACATTGCTGAAGCTAACTTTTTACTGGCTACAGCAAATAACCACCACTGATGGGCTAAAAGTATTTTTACTAATGTTAGCTTACAGTACACTGCTTATTTTGATTAAAGTTACATAGTTAAAAGTAAACTTAGCTAACCAATCTCAATGCTAACCTGGCTAACAGCCAATTCTAACAGAAGCTAAGCTGACTTTGAGTAATGATAACGTGGGGTACTGTTAGCTTGCTAATGTCAAATGCTAATGTCAAGTAAATCAAACTTAGCTCAAAGCTAATGTGACTAAATGCCTATTTTTACTACAATTTGTTTTGCACAAATTTAATGTGGCTAAAAGTGAAGGACAAAATAAATGTATCTGTTAGCAAAAAATCCATCAGAAAGGTAAAAACTTAAAGTTGGTCATTTCTAACAAGAATAGCTAATTGTTCTGATGACTAGGTTCAAATTGCAGGCTATCGATCAAAATTAATCATTAGACAAACGAAGACTGCAATAATGCTGAGTACACGCACTGCCCTTAATGAATGCAGCAGTGAAAACTCAGATTCATTGTTCTTTAGTCAACACACGTTGTGCCAAACAGGGTAGAAATATTAATTTTTAATTGACAAGTGACCTCAGCCAGGGCCGGCCCAAGCTTTTTTGGGGCCCTAAGCAGATTTTCAATATGGAAATTGTTTGTCCATTTGAAATAGCATTTAGTTTGTATTATTCAATATTATTTTAAATATATATATATATANTGGGTTTAGTACATTCACTAGCCAATAACTCTGTTGTCACAGAGAAATCAACTAAAACCTCATAATTTTCAAATACTTGAATATTGTTTATAATCATAAAAATCTTAAAATATTAATCCAGCTCACCAAATTTTGGCCTAGGGGTTTTAGCTAAAGTAAATCTATGCAAAACAGGCATTCATTAAAAAAAATAAATAAATAAATAAAAATCTTTGCTCCCGTTATCCTTTCAAGAAATCAGGGCCCTGGGTCCTGTAAGCAATCGGGAGCAGGTAGTACCACAAGGTTGTCTATTTAAACTGAGAAAGGAGAGCATTGACCAGAGATGGATGGAGATATTGACCATAAGCATATGGTCAGAGCGAATGGGATGGTTTAGATCACAGATCGCTTGCTTTTTAGAATGGCTCAGTCAAAGTTCAAACTAAGATCCAATTGAGCAGATGTGGCTGGATTTGAAAAATCACCAAGAAAAATACACGACATCTAATCTTTAGATTTTGGAAAGTTGGTAGAGGAAAAAAACAACAACACAAAACAAGCTGCAAAAGAAGGCTGTACAAGAAGAGTAGGCTGCGTTTTCTCAGATTTTTGGAAAAAACGTTTCCATAATTTCACAATCCTGAGTTAAACACTGCCACAAGACGCTGAAATTATGATCATGATAGAACTCATCCCGTTGAACTCATATGATCTTACTATTCATGTATTAATTAATGAATTTATTTAGTGAAGAAGACATTCAGCTACATATTTCTGCAGAAGCTTTTAGAAATCATGGCACTGATCACATTTTTTTTTTTTTTTTTCGCAAAACAATAATCTAAAAAAAAAATCGATCACCCGTTCGAAACTGATATAACAAAGTAACCGTGTACTCTGTGAAATTGTTTACCGGAGATCCGAAGTATGTCTAGGTGTTTTTCATTGGCGAAGCGTCTTCATTAGTCAAAAGGCGTGGGCGGGACTCTAGCTCTCTGCAGCGAGTCAAAGTGAAAGCAATAAAGGGAAGCAGGAGCTGCACTTTGCCGACGAGCATCTCTGCCGTCCTGCTTCACCACAGTCATCACTGCCCCCTCTGATCAGCGAAAACACACAGGGACTCCTGCAAAAACGGCAGAGTTCGTCAATGTAACTCGGGTCAGTCAGAAACTGCGCCGTTCAGCTGGATAAGTCCAATCTTGGCAGAAGAGAGGGAAAAAAAAATTAAAAAGAGAGAGTGGAGTGTTGGCGTAAAATTGTGCAGGAAAAGAGAAGAATATGATGCTCAAGCAGCACTTGATCTTCATCCTCTACAGCCTCTGCGCGAGCGTCTTTAAAGGTGAGCCCTCTTGGACGGTTGTTGTGCAGACGGGCGTGGTGTGCGGGGAGGTGGAGGCTTGCGTGGAGTGTAAAAGATCATTTGTGTTTTGTGACATGTGAGGGCAAGTTGTTTTATTCAGCGCAAACACAAGAAAAGGGAGAGTTGGCTCGCCTTTTAAAACGGCGCAGCTTCGGCTGCAGCAGTGCACGGCTGCCGCTGTCTGCCGTCAGTGTGCTGGAATGCCTGGAAGTTGAATTGTGCGGCGCAGTGAGGAGCAGAATGCGGCTACACAAGTTTCCGTATCGGAGGGGGGGTGACAACTTGCATGTCGCCTCAGTGACCGATAAAAGCTGCGGATTAGTTCACTGAAGCCTTCTGTGTCTGTGCTCATTCAGCTGGGCATGTGTCTTCTGAAACTGATACAGGATGCAGGAGAGGTGGCTGGTGTCTGTTTGCTGAGTCCGGTGTCATTGAGTAGATATTTACAACCACAGGCTGCGCTTAGGTTCATTTAATGGGATTTAGCAAATCTATTTTAAAGATAAAGATGCACACACACAAAAAAAAGTCCTCTATGCATTTCGTTGGGTTTTATATTGTGGTCACTGTTTAAAGTGCAGCCTATGCATGTGCATCTCCAACAGTGACGGTAACACATTTTAGGACCAGCATCGTGCACTGCTCTGCTGCCGGAGACGCAGGTGAGGTTGCGTGACTTGAAGCCAGTTGCAGCTCGGTTTAGACGTCGCCTCATGACAATAGTCGTTCTCCCCGCAGACCGTCCCGCTCCTGGACATGCTTGCGCAGCCACCGCCCTATAGGCGACCAGCCTTCTGAACCCCCCCTCCAGAAGAGCTGCTGCTGGTGCCATCAAAGTGTTCCATATGACAAATGACCAGATTAATCTGCCTTCCTCTTTTAATAATAATAAAAATCCATAAAACATTAATGACATTGTCAATGCAGATTTAGTGTAAGGTATTGTATAATGAAAGTGATTAGAGGAATTTTAACATAAAGCATAAATGATTTATAATTCCACTCAGAATCACTGTTCCACTTATTTGATCCTGAGAAACCAAAAGTTGATAACCTGCAGGTTCCCTGCTTACTTGGAAGTCCTGCATATTTATTTTTTAAAATTACATTGAATTATGGAATTAACATAATGTAAGTTTTAGATTTTCAGAAGAGTCCCGGCACATGGCCAGGGGCACCAGAACGTTTTCAAAAGGGCGTTCAGATTGGACAGCTGACAAGGTGGCCCCACAAAACCAAGTTGTTTTTTATGCTGTCAAACAGGGATGAATATTCAAAAGTTGAGCTATGTAAGACAAAACAAATAAATACATAGATTAACTAATCATCAAAATGTTGCAACTCACCGACACTTTTACTTTCTTTTAACTCTTTCCTACACATTTGTAAAATATTAAGCGTAAAACAGTGTTTGATCAAGGGAGGCGGCAGTCCTAAAGGGGTAGGCATTGCCCCCCTCCCCACCCACACCATCTCTGATTTGGCACACATGTATATGCCTAGCATTAGTCCCAGTTTAGCTTAAATGCTTGAGAGTGGATTGGCAATAAGTCAGAGTCTCGATCGACCAGATTGCTGTTAAAAATCACAAAATATTTATATAATTTGCCTTAATGAATGCTCTGTTTTTGGATAGTTGCTGTCAGCAAGTCTTGCCTCATCTAACAGAGCTGTCCAACTTGAAATGCCATCATCTGTTATGCACAGCTGTGACCCGAAAAGACATCCAACCACATCCACAGCCAGAGCTTGCCTAGAGACATGCCCCTTTTGGAGAGGATTATGGTTTGAGTTAAATAACCTTGGATGATTTATTAACCTCAAAATGTTCTCATAACTTCTAACTGAAAATGCTGTCTGTCGGTCTGTCTGTCTCTCTGTTCGTCCGCCCAGTCTGGAGTAAAAATAATGCATGTTCTTGTTTTGCCCAGTGCACAGACAAATCAAATGTACCGCAGTTTGGCTTCTGAGAAATCTTTAAACAAGTGAACTACATTATAAAACTAGTCACTAAAATGCATTTTGAAAATTACAATCACCTGTTTAGTTCTTCTCTAGTAACGCGATCACCTCACGGAGATCTTGAGTGCAACAAACAAATGATAGTGCAAAATGTCTGCACAGACAATGTGATCTGTGATTACTGACATGATGAAAACGTAAAGCACCCATGTCCTGGAGTTTGGTGCAAAAGTAGAGGAATACGAATACGGGCCTTACATATTAGTTCAGCGAAATCCCATGATATGCTGGGAGTAGCAATACTGTATATGGTGAAAGGAATTAAGGATCCACTGACTTTAACTTATGTCAACAACACTATCATTTCGAGAGTATGATTAATAATACATGAACATTACTATAGTCTTCAAGGCTTAGAAATACTGATATCAAAGAGGTTTCTCAGCAGTGTAAAGACCAGTGAGTGCAGCCGATGCAGCAGGTAAAAAGAGAAGGGATCATTTTAGTTTTTTGTCAGATAGAGTGAAAGATCTGTCTTGTAGTTTTCAAAGCTCAACAGATAATAAAAACCGTGCTATTCATTCTTCATAGCTGAGAAAAATGATGGCTATTAAATACGCAGACTAATTTAATTTAAAATAAGCCCCATTTGTGGGACTGATTTTTGTCACCCTTACAGTGTAGCTGGTGCTTTACGTGAATAGCCTTTACCAATCCCACTTGGGGTTTTGTTAGCCTCATCCTTAACCTTTCATCCCAAATATTAAAAGAAGAGCCATGATTTTACAGTTCATCAAACTGAGTTATAGTAGGGGAAAAAATGGGGACTTTAAAAAGACCTTTAGGTAAAAGTTTTACTAATTTTCTCTATGAATACTGTTACTGAGGGAGGCAGAGAAAACTTTATATTAACATTATATTT